GAGAATGTAGTTGTGGGTGTCCTGCTTTGTGCAGGCAGGGGGCTGGACTACAATGTAGCCCACTAGAAGACCCTTTGAGGTCCCTCCCAGCTCTTTGTTTCTCTGTTTTTATTCTCATTTGCATCTGATGAAGTGAGTTTTCGCTCAGAAAAGACTATACCCTGGGGAAACTGCCTGGTTGTCCTGGTGCTACCAGATTCGAGTTTTGTTCCACCTGTCTTGTTTCCCTCCAGCCCTTCTGTCTTTGGAAGCTCTAGAACAGGGGTGTCAGACTCATTTGTTAAGAGGGCCAGATCTGAGACAAACGTCACTTAGTCAGGGCGGGCCACGTGGGCCATAAAACATAATGCCAGGTCCGGGAGATATAAACTTTATAAAGGGCCCAGGCAAACCCCAATTAACGATATTGTTTTTACTCAAAATACAAGCATGTTGAAAACATGAGCACTCTTAACACAAGGCTCTTTTTGTAGAAAAAGCCCAGCAGGAACTCATTAGCACCCCTGATGACACAGCTCATTAGCATATTAGGCCACACCCCCATGTTACCAGAAGTGTAGTCATCCAGCCACACCCACCTTTTGCTTCTTATTCTGTTTACCCTGTTTGTTGTCAAAACCCAAGGCTTTTTTTGTAGCAGGAACTCCTTTGCATGTTAGGCCACACACCCCTAATGTAGCCAATCCTAATGAGTTTCTGCTGTTGGATGTGGCCTATTATGCTAATGAGTTCCTGCTGGGCGTGGCCAACTCGGGAGCCAGCCGGAACTCCGTTCCTGTGTGTTCCTGCCCAAAAATAGCCCTGCTCTTACAGTATCATTATACTGCAAATATTATTACTCTGCAGATCTTCCCTGATTCTTTGTAAAGCACTTTCTGAGCATGAGAGCTTTTGTGCTACTCCGTAGGTAAGACTGTATTTGGATTCTACACCGCTTTTCATTTTCGCATTGTGCGTATTCTAAAGAGTTGTATTTTTGTACGCCACAGAACGTTTCCCAAGGAAGATCCAATTTTGAAACATTGTTTACCATAATATACAGAAAGCATTTTCTTTGCAAGTCTTGTTGACTGCCTGATTTGTGGGTCAGACTCTCACGACTGTTTACTTAACATTTGTTCTTTGATCGGGTCGTGATTGTCCATAAAATGTAATGCCAGGTACACGAGAGATAAACTTTAAAAAGGGCCCAGGCAAACCCAGGTAATGATATTATTATTACTCAAAATACAAGCATGTTGAAAACATGAACACTCTTACAAGTATGTCCTTAAGTTATCTCCGTGATGCCCACCCTCCCACTGCCACCGCCCGTTACTCATTAGCACTGGGACACTATACAGGGACATATTGCACAGCCTCTGTCATCTAGCAATGAAGATAATGACCAGTTGCTTGCGGGGCGCATAGGAGCCCTTGACGGGGCCGGTTTTGGCCCGTGGGCCACATGTTTGACACCCCTGCTCTAGAAGTGAATGCCTCAAAAGCTCTTTATGTTATCAGGACATTTGAAACACAGCCAACGAACACAGATAACCTCAGGAAAGTGGAAATAAATGGGGGGGGGAGTTCCAAGCCGAACAGCTGTGCTACCTTCTCCCTGCAGCTGGCTAGGATCCATCAGCTCCATCACGTACTCCACATCCAGCTGGACCGAGACGATGTCGCAATTCAGCAAGACGTAAGTCAAGACCGGGAGGAAGTCATCGGCGCCGAAAGGCTCTTCTCAAAATAAGAAGTGAGGGAACATTATCACTGGGTGGTCCAAGCGGTACCAGGCAGAGGTTTTCTTTCTTTTTTTTAACATTGTTTTTCCATTAACATATAATAACACAAATGTACAAACTCCAAATTAATATATTTTAACAACAAATAATTCTCCTATGCCTAGTATACATTCCTAGTCTTATACAATTTAACTATCGCTTTAATCTCTAACCTTATTCTATTATGACTAGCTTAATTTTGCTTGCGGGGCGCATAGGAGCCCTTGACGGGGCCGGTTTTGGCCCGTGGGCCACATGTTTGACACCCCTGCTCTAGAAGTGAGTACCTCAAAAGCTCTTTATGTTATCAGGACATTTGAAACACAGCCAACGGACACAGATAACCTCAGGAGAGTGGAAATAAATTGGGGGGGGGGAGAAGTTCCAAGCCGAAAAGCTGAGCTACCTTCTCCCTGCAGCTGGCCAGGATCCATCAGCTCCATCACGTACTCCACATCCAGCTGGACCGAGACGATGTCGCAATTCAGCAAGACGTAAGTCAAGACCGGGAGGAAGTCATCGGCGCCGAAAGGCTCTTCTCAAAATAAGAAGTGAGGGAACGTTATCACTGGACTTTTTTCCAGAAACTCCAGGCAGAGGTTTTCAAGGACCCTCAGAGAGAAAGCTCTCTCCTGAGAATGTAAGAAGAAGAGCCCAGCTGGATCAGACCAGGGGTCCCTCTAGTCCAGCATCCCCTACTAGGTTTTTATATGTCTTTGTAATAAACACTCTTTTGTACACTGGCTTACGTTTTTTAGACTTTTGGCCCTCAGTTCGTTTTCTAAACTTCCCTCGGAGATTTGTGCTTTGTTGGTTTAGATTCCCCCCACCCCTCTTTTTTGGGGTGTCTGAACATCTGCAAAGCCAGAAGTCCTTGAAAACACGTTGGGTCTCCACCCCGTGGCCGCTTATGGGCTCGCTAATCCCACTCCCGCCGGCCCTATGTACCTGTCCGGCCGGCCGCCTGGTTCATGGCTTCATAGATCAGCTTGCACGCCTTCAGCATCTGCGTCTCCTTCTTCTTGGGCGAGTAAGCCTGGTGCATGAGGCCCAGCTTGGTCCGGATGCGCTCCAGGCCGGCCCCGTCCGGCACGCCGGCCGTCACTCCCAGCTCGGCCAGGGTCTGCTGGCTCATGGTGGCCTGGTGTCCACGCAGCCTGGCCAAGCTCCCGTCACGGGTGCGGAAGTCCAGCAGCTGGGCGTAGATGGAATCCCGGAGGGGCTTAAGGATGCATTTGTACAGGGCGGCTTCGACCACAGAACCTGGGCAGGGAAACAAACGAGAAGCCTGAAGACGAAGGCATCCCTTTTATTCACCTCCCTGACATCCTCGCCTCCATTTTATTCTCACAACAGCCCTGGGAGGGAGATTAGGCTGAGAGTCTGTGCCTGCCCAGGAATAGGTGGGTCTAGTAACAAATATATATACACTGCAATACACACACACACACACACACACACACACACTACAGCTTTGAGAATGACAGGAGTACTCCATCCATGAATGTTAGCTGCATAATGTGTCTTTTGTAGGACCGGCAAAAAGCATCCATACAAGAAGGCTGTCCCCCTTTCTGGAAGACTTCATGCAAGGAGGAGCAGGCTTATAATTCTAGAAACTCCCGTTGGGGCTTGACTTTTAAAACACGGATGCAAAATTGTCTGGTAGTTAGCAATCTGTATGTATTGGATGTTATTGCTTACTGAATGTAATGAATATTTATACCTGACTAGGATGAAATAATGATACACTATGACGGAGTGAGCTCCCGTCTCTAGTTCCAGCTCCTGCCAACCTAGCAGTTCGAAAGCAAGAAATTGCAAGTAGATAAATAGGTACCACTTCTTTATGCACTTTACTAAATGATGACCATAAATAGAACACATTAGTTTGCTAAAAGGTTTTTGCAGTGTATATGTATTTGTTACTAGACCCACCTGGAGGCTGGCGTCCCTACTCAGTGGGGTACAGGGCCATAGAGTCCACCCTCCAAAACATCCATTTCCTCTGGAATTACAACTGATTCCCTAACGGCAGCGGTTCCCTAATGGCAGCCAGTTTGGTGTAGTGCTTAAGTGCCTGGACTCTAATCTGGGAGAACCGAGTTTGATTCCCCACTCCACTGCTTGCAGCTGCTGGGTGACCTTGATGCAAAATTGTCTGGTAGTTAGCAATCTGTATGTATTGAATGTTATTGCTTCCTGAATGTAATGAATATTTATACCTGACTAGGATGAAATAATGATACACTAAATGCAGTTTGGTGCAGTGGTTAGGTGCGCGGACTCTAATCTGGGAGAACCGGGTTTGATTCCCGACTCCTCCACTTGCACCTGCTGATGTGACCTTGGGTCAGTCACAAGCTCTGGCACAGCTGTCCTTGAAAAAGAGCAGTTTGTGTCAGAGTTCTCTCAGCCCCACCCACCTCACAGGGTGTCTGTTGTGGGGAGGGGAAGGGAAAGGAGTTTGTCAGCCGCTCTGAGACTCCAAGTGAAGGGCGGGGTATAAATCCAATCTCCTCTTCTTCTTCTTCTTCTACTAAATGATGATCATAAATAGAACACATTAGTTTGCTATAAGGTTTCTGCAGTGTATATTTATTTGATACTAGACTCTCCTAACACTGCGGCTCGGGTTGCTTCAGCAAGAATAGGTGGGGCCTAGAGATGTCCCATGACACATGAAGCTGCCTTATACTAAATCTGACCCTGGGTCCATCTTAGGGTTGCCAAGTCCCCCCAGGGGATGGGGACTCCCCTGCTCAATGGGGCCGTTACCCGCCGTCCCACATTGGGCCGTCGGGGGGAACCCCACCCCCAAAGTGCAGGGCTCGCTGTACATGCCTGGCCTGATGATGTGACATCATCGTGTCGGGCACGTTTGTGGCGGGGCACTCTATGATTCAAGGGGAAACTCTATGGTTTCCTCTTGAATTATAGTAGCCCCGCCCCCAATGTGCCCAATGCAATGACGTCACTTCTGGGTGATGTCATCGCGGTGCGTGCGCGCCGAAGGACTCCCGGAGAGAGCCGGGACTCCTCCGCTCCAGGACAAGGTAAGACTTGGCAACCCTAGTCCGTCAAGAAGAAGAAGAAGAGGTGGGTTTACCACTGAGCCACTGTAAGGCGAACGAGCAAGGCTGGACTCACTCCGTGCTTCAAGAATTCCCCTCTTTCAGAATTCTGCATGGACATCTTCCCCATTCAGCTCCCGGTGCAAATTATGCCAGTGAAGCTAGGGAAGCCAGCCTCCGGGTGGGACCTGGGGATTCCCCGGAATTACAGCTCACCTCCAGATTACAGAGATCTGTTCCCCTGGAGAAAACGGCAGTTTTGGAGGGTGCGCTATATGGCATTGTACCCCACACTGAGGTCTCTGTCCTCCCCAGGCCCCCATCCCCAAATCTCCAGCAGTTTCCGAATCTGGATCTGGCCATTCTACCCCACTACCACTAGTGGTCACAGGGGGAGGAACAGACTGGCAACCTTAAATCAAAATCGAATGAGTGTCTCCATCGTTTTGCATAGCTTTTTCTGCTTTTTTTGCTAGCCTCAGGCAAAGAGCTCAGTAGGTGCCCTGACCTGGGTAGGCTAGGCCAGGCCAGCCAGATCTCGTCAGATCTCGGAAGCTAAACAGGGTCGACTCTGGCAAGTCCTTGGAGGGGAGACCTCCTTGGAATACCAGCAGTCGGGAGGCGGGGGCAGGCTTTATTCAGCCACCTCTCTGAATACCCTCCAGGGCCCCAGTAGGGGTCAGACACCAGGCGTCATTCCCCACAGAAACGCACAGGAGCAGAGCTCTGGCAGTAAAAAGCCCAGGGGGCGGGCACATGCAAGAAGCCCCGCCCCCTGCTCCCAGCAGCCCTCAGTCAGAGCAAGAAGCAGCCAGGTAAGCTGCAGAGCCCCCCCGGCCCCCGGGTCCAAAACAGTCCAGTGGCACCTTTAAGACCAAGTTTTATTCAGGTACAAGCTCTCCCTCCTCTGCGAGGGCAGATCTGCACGTTCCCCCCGCCCCCATAGCTAGCAATCCAAAACAGTCCAGTGGCACCTTTAAGACCAAGTTTTATTCAGGTACAAGCTCTCCCTCCTCTGCGAGGACAGATCTGCACGTGTGTCCCCCCCCCCCATAGCTAGCAATCCAAAACAGCCCAGTGGAGCCTGAGCGGTGGTTGTTGCCTTCTGACACACTTCCGGTGATGTCAGGGGGTGTGGCATATGCAAATAAGTTATGCTAATGAGTTATGCTAATGAGCTCCTGCACCTCTTTTTCTACGAAATGACCCCTCACCAGAGGTCACCATGACTTCCAGGTACACACGCACGCGCGCACACACACACACAAATACCAAAAAGTACCCCCTTCCAAAAAAAGAAAGAAGTGCTCAGGAGGCCACTAGGGCCTTTCTTTCCACCAGCGGGAATTCAGCCACCTCACTGGCATCTATGACTGCGTAAACATGCTGCGCAAATGCATAATTTTAAATACTCTCTTGACCGGGGGTCCCCAACCCTTGTGAGCCTGTGGGCACATTTGGAACTCGGACACGGCGTGGTGCCCGCAACCACAAAACGGCTGCCTCGGGAGGCGGAGCCAGCCACGACATGGCTGCCGCAGTTTATCTTCAGTCACATCGTGAAGATTGTCGTGCCTTGGTGGCAACTGCTGCCAAATCAAGGTTGTTTTGGGTTTTTTGTTTTTTTGTTTAAATCTGCATAGCCAATCAAATCTCCAGCGGCCAATCAGAAGCCTTGTTGGGCAAAAGCCTCACCTGGCCCCACCCACTTTCTAAGAACACTCAGTGGGCACCGTGTTGGGGACCCCTGCTCTTGACCGCACCTTGAGGACCAGAAACCTACTTCTCCCACCCTTAACTTGACCAGAAAGTCAGGAATCCAGACGCAGTTCCTGAAGGACACAGGCTACAGAAGAAACCCACGCAGCATGCATCCTATTCAACAAAACCAGCACGGAGAAGCCAACCCCCCTCTTTGGGGGTTTAAAGGAAGCATCCTCGGTTCCCATCAACATGTCCCTCACCCTCCCTCCCCGCCCCTTCCTGCAACGGCTTCCTCTGCAAATGCCACCGCCGCAGCCTGTGTCAAAGCCCCAGCCACAGAGAAGCGACTGATTTTTCTAAGTGCACTGGCTTTCGCCTAGAAGCCAACGGATGCAGCACCCAAGGCCCAGAGTGGAGACCGCAGAAAGTATTTTCGGCAGCTCACGGCCTTGGCAGGAGATATTTATAAGCCTGCTTGCTGGGAAGGGGAGAAGACGGCCGGGCGCTTTCCCCTTCTGGGGCGGTGGGTATGTTGTGTGCGCACGTGTGCAAAGGTAGAGCTTTCATTTGCCTGGAATCCCACGAAGCACAGGGAGGAAAGGTCTATCAATGGTAGCTAAATTGAACCTTCAGCTTCAGTGGCAGTCTACCCCTGAATACCAAAAACAGCAGCAATGCACAGAGTGTGGTGGTCTGGTGGTTTTTTGGTCCAGTTGCCAGCTAGGCCAAGAATCCGCAGTATATCCCGTCTTCTGCACACAGAAATGGCTTCCAGGAAAACTGCCATTCCTTCTGAACAAGGAAATCCCACTTAACCATCAAGCTTAAACCACGGCCACACATCCTGGAAAATCTATAGCAACTAATAAAGCTTAATACCCTTTGACAGACCTATAACTCCATGAATTTGTTCTAATCCCCTTTCTAACGTCATCTCAACCAGTGACCATCTTGTGGCGGTGAGTTCCACAAGCTGACGTACAGAACAAAGACGTGTTTCCTTTGGTCCCGGATCACCGTAACGATGCAAAGGGGGGTGAGATCTAAGCCACATTCCCCACCCTCAAAACCCTGACCCCCCCGCCCTCGCCATCCCCGCTCCGTACCTAGGTCCATCTCCTCCGCTTCACTGTGCTCACAGATGGTACGCAGCTCCGAGCTCTCGCACAGGTAGCCCTTGAGGTTGCTGATCATCTGCCGGATCTCCTGCAGCATGTCGGTGCTGGTGGGGTGCCGCATCCCGGATCCCCGCAGGACGTGCCCCACAAAGCTTTGCACCAGGCCTCCAAGGTAGGACATCGGCTCCTGGGCCAATTCCTGCACCCGGTTGGAGATCCGGCGCTCAGTAGAGAGGAGCCCACCAAGTGTGCTGCCCACAGCCGAGAGGCGGTGAAGCACTTTGTACGTCAAAGCGGCGGAGGAGCGGCGCTTCTTGTGCGTGGCGGTAAGCGGGAGGCTGTCCCCCTCGTCCTCCATGCTGCTGAGAGAGAGGGAATCCAGTTCAGGGATGGGGGGCAAGACCAGGGGCTCGTGCAGGGGCGACGATTCAGAGCCAGACTCCATGGGGGGGCAGCAGGGGGGTGCCGTCGCCGAAGCGGCTTCGATCCAGGAAACGCGGTGCGGGGACTTGACCTCTTTCTGCAGGAGGTCCGGGGACGCAGGCAGCTCTTCTGAGACGTTTGCAGAGTCGGCCATGGCCAAGCTGCGCAGGAAGGGCTTCCATCGCACAGAGCCCGAGGGGGCCACCGAGCCACCTGTGGGTTGGCACAGCAAGGAAAAAGACTGTGAGGCAAAACATCCTCATTTTACCAAGGGTTAACACGAATAAATGTCGGTCTGTTTCAGCTTGCAGGTCTTTCTAATTCGTCTTTCTCATAGATACTATCTCTGTCTCTCGGATATCAGAATGTAGTAATTGGCCAAGTGAAAAACCTGCGCTCAGTTCAGTAACTAGATGGGAGGGTGGAACTTGGAGCAAGTTGCATCGTCTCCAGTGAACGAGCACCCTGATTGGATTCCAGAGACCGCCTGATGCCAGAGAGCAAGAAACTATCATTGGGCCTTAGACAAGGGTGATGCGACGCTAAGTTTTGATCCCATGGGACAGGCACATCAGCTTCTAGCCTGGACTCTGCCATTTTGAACAGTGCACCAGTTAATGCCAGGTACTAAAATGTCAGGAAGAAAAAGTTAGTTTTTGCTGTGTTCCTTGCTAATTAACTCTGTTGTGTTGCCTAGTAGGTTTTTAAATGTTATTTGCTCAATAAACCTATGCGTATTTTTCTAAAGGTTCTGGTCTTCTTGTGTGCATTTAACCTCAAGGACCCACGAGTTTGAGCACTGCTTACTAGACTGGGAGGCAATGGCTCAGAGGGACCCAAGCTTGGGTTTCCTGACAAAGACAGACTGGATGAAGACAGCAACTGGGACCTTCAGACAGGTCTTCAAACCCGGCCCTTGAAGCAACTGCTTGGGACGGGGCAACGAGGAAGACCCTGACAGACCCTGACAGAGAGTCAGTTTGGTGTAGTGGTGAAGTGTGTGGACTCTAATCTTGGAGAACCGGGTTTGATTCCCCACTTCTCCACTTGCAGCTGCTGGATGACCTTGGGCAAGCCCTAGTTCTGATAAGAGCTGTTCTTGAAAAAAAGAGCAGTTTCTGTCAAGAGCTCTCTCAGCCCCACCCACCTCACAGGGTGTCTGTTGTGGGGAGGGGAAGGGGAAGGAGTTTGTAAGCCGCTCTGAGACACCTTTGGGTAGTGGAGGGCGGGGTATAAATCCAATCTCTTGTTTTTCTTCTTCTTCTCATGCACAACCACCAGTGGCAGGGGAGGTGGTTGGCATCTCCTTCTGGGCCTGCACCTCGACCAGTCAGGTCCAAGCCCAGCCCTGGAGGCATAATTGCAGGGGTTTGGCCCTGATCCAGCTCTCAGCAGCACGGGCTGAGGGCGGGAGTGGTGTGCCAGGCCTGCGGTGACAATGACCTTCAACTAGCTGTGCTTGGTCCTTTCCCCTTACATTACACACACTAACACTTTCAACATCTACTCGTCAGATCAAGGAAGCTAATCAGGGTCAGCCCTGGATAGTATTTGGATGGGAGACCACCAAAGAAGCAGGGGTCATTTCCTGCAGGACCGCACAGGAGCGGAGCTTCGGCAGTAAAGAGCCCAGGGGGCGGGCACATGCAACAAGCCCCACCCCCTGCTCCAAGCAGCCCTCAGTTGGGCCATGAGGAGCAAGAAGCAGCCGGGTAAGTTGCACACACACCCCCTGCCACCTGCCTTTCCCGGCACCTGGCTGGTGTGGGGTGGCGGCGATGGGGCTTGATTGGGGCTTTTCCTCCTTCTTTCCTTTCCTTTCTTTCCCTCCCTCCTTCCTTCCCTCCTTCCTTCATTCCTGCACAGATCTGTGCGTCCCCTCCCAATAGCTAGCAATCTGAAACAGTCCAGTGGAGCCTGAACGGTGGGTGTTGCCTTCTGACACACTTCCGGTGATGTCAGGGGGTGTGGCATATGCAAACGAGTTACGCGAATGAGCTATGCGAATGAGCTCCTGCACCTCTTTTTCTACAAAATGACCCCTCCAGGTTTACCCCAACCTGGATGGCCCAGGCTAAGTCGATCTCGTCAGATCTCGGAAGCTAAGCAGGGTCAGCTCCGGTTAGTACTTGGATGGGAGACCACCCGGGAAAGTCTAGGATCTCTATGCAGAGGCAGGCAATGGCAAATCACCTCTGTTTATCTCTCTCCTCACCTAGATGCCCAGGCTAGCTCTGTCTCATCAGAACTCAGACGCTCAGCAGAGTCGGCCCTGGTTAGTACTTGGACGGGAGCAGGGGTCATTCCCTGCCGGAGCGCACAGGAGCGGAGCTTCGGCAGTAAGGAGCCCAGGGGGCGGGAACATGCAACAAGCCCTGCCCCCTGCTCCCAGCAACCCTCAGTTGGGCCATGAGGAACAAGAACCAGCCAGGTAAGTTGCAGAGCCGCCCCCCCCAGTCCGCCTTCAGGTACAAGCTCTCCCTCCTCTGTGAGGGCAGATCTGCGCATTCCCCCCCCCCAATAGCTAGCAATCCAAAACAGCCCAGTGGAGCCTGAGCGGTGGGTGTTGCCTTCTGACACACTTCCGGTGATGTCAGGGGGTGTGGCATATGCAAATGAGTCGTGCTAATAAGTTATGCTAATGAGCTCCTGCATCTCTTTTCCTACAAAATGACCCCTGGACGGGAGACCTCCAAAGGAGTCCAGGGTCACTATGCAGAAGCAGGCAATGGCAAACTACGTCTTTTGCCCGGACCTGGATAGCCCAAGCTAGTCGATTTTGTCAGATCTCAGAAGTTAAGCAGGGTTTGACTTGGTTAGTACTTGGACGGGAGACCTCCAAGGGAGTCCAGGGTTGTCCGATCTCGGAAGCTAAGCAGGGTCAGCCCTTGGATAGGAGAACACCAAGGTCACTGCACAGAGGCAGGCAATGGCAAACCACCTCCGACTGTCTCTCGCCTTGGAAACCCTACGGGGTCGCTATAAGTCAGCTGCGACAGCACTTTCTGCCACCAGCTTGACAAACTGCCCGTCTTACATATCCCGGCGACTGCTTCAGGAGGCAAGGGACGGAAGACCAGGCTCCACAATCCATTCTTTAACAGTCCCCAGACCCAACCCACTTTCCCCACCACAGCCACACAGCAACTGCAGGGGATGTCGGTTTTAAAGGCGGCAGGAGCCCAATTTGGTTCAGGACTGCAGCGTGGTGGGAGGAGGGGCTCCTGCCTTCCCCCTGCTCCACTTCCCCCCAAGTTGAAACAGCCTGTAATGATTTCATGTTTTGGTGTGTGTGTTTCTTTAAATGTTTAGTTTGTCTGCAGTAATGTAAGGAGAGTGATGGAGGGTGATGTGACTGGCTGATGACTGAGAGTGTGGGAAGGAGGGGTGTCTATGAGGTGATTCTGTGTGTGAAGTTTGGAGAGAGAGCACAGTCTGTGTGACTATGGGAGTCTGAGTCTATTCTGTGTGAGTAAGACAAAGAGTTTAGCCTGTGTGGCTATATATATGAGAGAGAGAGAGAGATTGGACTGAGTGTCTAAGCCTGTCAGAGTGGAGTTTTGGAGTTTGAGAAACTGTTTGTGACGCCAAGCTTTGCCAGTTATATTTACAAGTTCCTTTCTTCAGCAACAGTTCAAAATAACCAGAAACCTATTTTGTTCTTTATTAAATAAATCATTTTTTGTTTAAACTTATCCCAGCAATCAGAATAGTCCTTCCTCAAGGCCACATAGTCCTCTGAAGTGCCCAGACCCTGGGTCATTCTACCACAATAGAGGGATTTGGAATATTTTATTCCTGGCGGCAGCAGAAATTGACCAAGTTCATGTACACAGAGTGTGTTTTAAAGGTAAAACCGTCTCCCCAATAAGCGAGGACGCCACACAGTCCCTATGGGGAGTTCACTATGCAGATGGTTTCAGTGGCACCTGCCACCACAGTATGTATTTTGGTCTCGCTCACCCCTCTTTCCCAGTGTATCTTTTAATGCCCTCCCCACACAGGGGCTTCCTCTGTGCATGCGTCTCTGTCTCCCATGGCAGCCATGTTGTGTTTGGCTCTGCCTCTTGCGGAAGCCATTTTATATAGCTGCGCTCACCACCCTGTGCCAGAATCCCAAAGGTTGCCCATATGTTCAAAACCCCTGAGCAATGCTCCTTCTAAGCTGTGGAGTCTTGTGAGCAAAAATTCTGCTTTGTGAGCTACCAGTATTAAAGTTGTGAGTGATCCATTTGGCCCCTGCATAAATTAGTTTGCTCTGGAGCCCTCCTTCCTGAGCTAAGAAAAAATGTGTGAGCTGGAGGTTTAAAAACTGTGAGCTAGCTCACACTAACTCAGCTTAGAGGGAACACTGCCCCTGAGCTTCATTCCTAATGGTCACAGGATCTTTGGGCCACTAGCAAAGGACACAGTAGTGCCTTTCTGCAGCGTTTACCTTTCTCTGTCGCCTTTTCCTCCTCCGGGGACCCCGGACGCTCCAAACACTCTGGATCTTCCTGTCTGCAAGGCACTGCTGCGGAGCCAGTGTCAACTGGTGGATCTTCCTGTTTGCAAGGTACCGCTGCGGAGCCAGAGTCGACCGGGCTGCCCCGTCCATCCCGGAGTCGCAGGGTCCCTCTCCTGCTGTTGGTGCGGCAAAGGTCCGGGGCCGAATTCAGCCAGCAAGCATCACCATGCACGGAGAGGAAGAGCGGGTTGATGATGCACAAGGCCCCCTCCTCAGGGATCACCTGGACGGGGCCATCTGGCTGCCCGGATCTGTGGGGCTCTCCGTTGGACCCCTGGGAGCCTTCTTCAGCCGATGCCAAGCCAGGGCCAAGTTTAAGGGGCATTGTCCAGAATTCTAGCAATGAAGCAAAGAAGGAATCGAGAGGGAAAGAAAGCATTATAAAAAATTATTTTTTTTTGCAGAGAACAGGTTTCCTCTGCCCTTTTCTGCACTCTCCATGTTAACCGCGGTGCCCTCCGAGCAAATCTGCACTAAAATCAAATTCAACCTTCTTTTTAATCCAGGTTCCTCCCCCACCCACCCTTCTGCACTAAAATCAAGTTCAAACTTCTTTTTATTCCGGGTTCCCCCCCCCCCC